TATCTTGAGTGCCCCCACAGTCACTTTCTGACCACCAAACTGTCAAGTGAAGTCCAAGGAGAAAGAAAGGACAGTAGCCCTGAGCAATCTCCTGGGTAATCTGGGAAGGCAGGGAACTGACACAATGAATGGACAAGATTGTAGACAAAGAACAGGCAGATAGAGAACATACACAAAGGCTCTGGAAGTTCATCTTTAAGACCAAGATATGCAAATAGGGGTGGGCCAGCTCCTTTGTCCTCCCCAGTTCTGGCCTGAGGCCACCAAAAAGAGACCCCTCCTGCCTGTCTTTATCATAAGCCTTTAACAAAGGATGCTGCTGCAGAAGTTACTGTTTTTATTCATCTCACCTGTTGTAAGAGCCAAACCACTACCAACTCTGTATAAGAAGGAATTGGGTATGGCTTTTCTTCTTCGGTCAGGCACATCCTCCAGGGTGGGCCAGGCTGTTTCCCATCTCTCTTTTTGACACAAATGCCAAATAAAATCTTGTTTTCTAAAAAAAAAAAAAATTAAAAAAATTTAAATCTTGCTTTCAAAAAAAGAATACTTTATAAATTATCAAGGGGACATGGGGGAGGGGAGGGAAGAAAAATAAAAAATGAGCAGCTGATACCAAGTGCTCAAGTAGCAAGAAGATGTTTTGAAAAAGATGATGACAACATAGGTACAGATGTGTTTGACACAATGGATATATGTATGGATTGTGATAAGCGCTGTAGGATTCCCCAATAAAATAATTTTTTTAATAATCTTTTTTAATCTTGTTTTCTCATGACTATTATAATCGTGTGATGATTTTCCCCTAGGACAAACCCAACCAACCAATCCACGCTCCCCATGGCCTGGCTTGTCCCATTCCAGCCCCCACCTTTTCTCTACATCTCCATTTTTAGGATGTTGTCTTCCCCTTCACCCAAGTTCACACTGACCTCTCCTCTCGTCTACTACTTTCCCCTCTCCCCTTAACAACCACCAGAGTCTGTTTCTTAGGGTGCAGAAAAACTTTTATCTTGATTTTTTTTCTTTTGTAACTGTGGTCTCCCACATTATCTGTCCTTTTGTGATTGACAACCTTCACTCAGTGTAAGGTCCTCCCAATGCACACGTCATGAGGCGTTTCACCGTTTCGTACTTACTTTAGTGGTGCATACTATTGCACTGTGAGTATGTACCCGAGTTTATGCATCCCTTCTTCCACCAATAGGATTCAGGTTGTCCGCATCTTCTTGCTATTGGGCTGCGATGAAATGAGGGTGCAGGTAAGAGTTGTCCATAACCTAGAGAACGCCTGTTGGTCCATCTTCGAATATAGCAGTGTTTTCCTTGGTGGTTTCTGTCTTGTTCTGTGTGCTTAAAAAGTTCTTCCCCACCTCCTAGAAAGGATAAACATCTATTGATATTTTGAGTTTGTTTCTTTTTCAAAGTCTTAAAAATTAAAAAATGAGGCTCATTTGTCACCAGATCTTGAGCTTGTGTGAGTGGGAGACCTGCACAAGTGTCTCCTCGGGGACCTGAAGGTATTGGTGGATTGACCAGGCAGAACCTCTAGCCCTCGGACTTAGCTTCTGGAAAACCAAAAGGACCCCTCCCACCATTTAACTGGTCTTTTTTTTAAATCATTTTTGGGGGCTCATACAACTCTTATCACAATCCACACATACATCAATTGTATAAAGCACATTTGTACATTCGTTACCCTCATCATTCTCAAAACATTTGCTCCCCACGTAAGTCCCTGGCATTAACTGGTCTTTTAAAAGGGAAATAATCTAGTTACTTGTACTTCTTTTTAGTTAAAAGAAACCTTTTCAAATAAACAAGTGTGATTGCGTTACAATGGTATTTCATAGAGCAAGTACATGCCATGGGGACAAGGACAACTTGTTTGATCACTGCTGCATCCTCCTGAGGTGGAGACCTATTAAGAAAACAACCACTCACTGCCATAGAGTCCATGCTGACTCATAGCAACCCACCTGTGGGTTTCTGACACTGGAACCGGTTTTGTTTTTTTAAAGATCACTTTACTGGGGGCTCTTACAGTTCTTATAACAATCCACACATCAATTACATCAAGCATGTTTGTACATATGTTGCCATCATTATTTTCTTTTTTTATCATTTTATTAGGGGCTCACACAACTCTTATCACAATCCATACATACATCAATTGTGTAAAGCATATTTGTACATTCATTGCCTTCATCATTCTCAAAACATTTGCTCTCCACTTGCCATCACTATTTTCAAAACATTTACTTTCTATTTGAGCCCTTGGTATCAGCTCCTCTTTTTTTCCCCTCCCTCTTCTGAGACTGTAACTGTTTATGGGAATAGGAACCCCAGTCTTTCTCCCACATTACTGCTGGTGGTTTCAAAATGCCAACCATGTGGACCTCAACCCAGCATGTAACCACTATACCACCAGGGCTCCTCAAAATCTACAAGAGGAGGAAAGATCTCAGGAACAGGAGCAAGTACCCTTTATCCAGTGGAGAGAGGAGGCCTACAAGGAGGAGAGAGATCTAGCCATGATCCTCTATCATCCTATACTTTGTCCCCATCACTTAAGGGGGGACGTCACCCCATGCTCAGAGAGAAACCAAAACAACAACAACAAAATACGGTATGCAGCTAAGTTGCAGTCAGTCAGAGCTCCAGTACAGGTTTTGAATTGAAATGTTCAGTAGCAGCAGAGACATCTGTAGGAAGAGTACCGGATGAGGCATCCTGTGAGAGGCTAGGCTAAATGTGTCCCATGACATCACTCTGGAGAGGAGGCTGCCAGGAGCAGTGTGAAGGCCTGCAGCCCTGTCGTTGCTGCTGCTGCTGCTGCTGCTGATTCTGCTGCTGCTGCTGCTGCTGCCACCTAACAAGACTGGGCTTGGGGCTTGCTGCCCAGCTTTGGGGCCCATTGCTCTGAGAAGAAATGCTCTTAGCAGCTTCCTGGCATCCAAGGTCAGGAAGAAACTCTACCCACATCCCCAGGGCAACCCTGGTATGGGAGGAAAACCCCTTTCTGTCCAATCCACTACAGTGCACTAGAAGCCAGTCTGTAAGTAATCTGGAGTGAAGTGGGGGGTCGACGGAAGGGGGGGGCCAAGTCTTGGCAACCAAGGCACCGAGCCTGCCAGGCTGTGCCTGGGTTCAAGCAGAAGCAGCTCTCCCTAAGAGTCCAGATCCTTGGACAAGGAAAAAGATAAGCTTTAAACACTAGCAGTGACTCATAGTACATTTGATTCTATAAGGGGAATGGGGACAGACCTGGGTACCACCCACCTTGCACTCATACACAGACACAGCCCCCCCCCATACACACAAACTCACACCCAAGTTCCTGAACCATGAGCCTTCCTGATGAGTCTGAAGAGACTTTTAACTCTTCCATCGTTGGTTGCCCAACCTCTGCTCTTCGGTTCCCACCCAAGCATAGTGAGTAAGGCTGCATACTGAGTATGGTGTAGTAGTGGGTGACACGTTCAGTCAGCGGGTGGAACTCATCAGCCATTCCGAGGACAAAGATGAGGCTTTACAGTCTCGGAAACCCACAGACGCAGTTCTACCCTGTGCTATAGGGTCACTACGAGTGGGAACCGACCCAATGGCAGCGAGTTTGGTTTTTAATTTCCCGCTGGCTTGGAGCTTTAGCCACAGCTGGGCCTGGGAGGGAAGCATGTGGCAGGATTCCGGGGCTGGTCGCTGTCCTCGGTGCTGGAGGTCTGGTGGGCCATGGATGTTTGAGAAGAGGTATCCTGGAAATCCAGATGTTGCTGTCCACAGGGCCCCACCACCACTCCTGCCCTTATTCTTTTTTAAAAAAATACTTTTATTGGGGGCTCTTGCATCTCATCACAATCCATACATTCCTCCAATGTGTCAAGCACATTTACAGCTCTCTTATCACAATCCATACATTCCTCCAATGTGTCGAGCACATTTACACATTTTCTTTTCTTTAAATTATTGCCTGCCTTTATTCTTCCTCCTTTCAAACCCAAACATGGAAACGGAAGGTGCTCTATCCCTCAGGCCATCAGCGTGGCCATCTGTGGCTGTGGGTGACCATTCACTGTAGCCACGAGAACTCGTGCACCAGCTATGACTGTGTGAATTGTATGACTTGCCTGTGTCCTCACTAGGCGCCTATGATTCCATTTAATTCCCAGTGACCTCATGCAACCCCATGTGGACGCCCGTGACTTCATGTGACCACACCCAGCAGCCCGTGCCCTTAAACCTGATCTTCCCAGAAGAGCTGTCTCAGGCCTCAGGCTCTCAGGGGATGTAGGCACTACCCAGACTAGCTGACCCGCTTTGCTGGAGGCTAGAAAGACCCTCCCAGTGCCCTCTCTTCGCCCCCTTGCAGAGGCGGCACCGAAGGCTCCTTGTGTCTGCAGATTCTGGTCCTAGGGGGCGTCCGCGGTAGCTGGCGCCGCGCCATAGGCGTGTGCGCCTCGTAGGGCAGGTGACCGCGACCCTGCTGCCACGCGAGTCAGCCTAGCCATAAAGCCCAGGTCGGGGG